CACAAAAAAAAAAAAAAAACGAGAAGAAAATGTAGCATAAAAAAGGAAAATGCAAGCATGAAAGCTGAGTAAAAATTGGAGGACAAAACTATTTGCTTTGTAATTTGTACTTTGTAAATAAAGGTGCAAAATGTATTTGTTACTCTGTATTAAATTATAAAATTATGATAAATAATACCTTTAGCTTTTGAGAATTGTAGTTTTAAAATTTAATAGAGTTAACTTTTGAATATTTAAGTTAAAAAATTATTAAGCAATTTTAGCTTAAAATTAGGAAAGCTCTCGGGGAGTATGCCCCAAATGAATGCCCAAAACGTTGGGACTTACGCTTAGGCGAACGTCCGGAATGTTAGTGCTTACGCCCTATGGTACTTATGCCCTGCCAGTATGCCTCAATGTGTTTTCGACACTTTGCCCTAGGGCTTGCTCGTAAAATACCTTATAAAACACTGGACACAACAATATTCTATATACTAGTGAATAATTCAAGATGCCCCAACACATGTATTGATTCTTTAGATGTTATTTATTATATCCGGACGATCTTGGTAAATAGTTATTTTTTAGATCGGTTATTAGAACTTAGTCATATTTAAATTGGAATAGCAAAGAAGCCACTGGTTCGATTAAATTGATGTGTTTGCCCCCAACTAGAATACGAAATAAAATTCCAATAATCAATAATGGAGTTTGAAACTTTGACAAGTGAAATCCCTGTAAATTATGATGGAATTTCCAAAATCCAAAAATTGTGAGCCTTTACCGATACAACATCTAAATTCTATGAATGATTCTTGGTTTTGGAACCTTTACTATTGCAAAATAGAAAAATCTAATAAAAAATTATCGTTTTTGAATTCTCATTATACTTCAGTAACTTTTAACCTTTAAATATTAAATCTAGGAAAATGTATTGATTTTCGAACCTTTATTAATGCAAAATCCAGGAAAAATTACTGATTTTTGAACCTTTACTAGTGCAAAAACAAGAAAATCCAGGAACGATTAATAATTTTTGAATTCACCTTATACTTCAGTAATTTTTAGCCTTTTAATACAAAATTCAGAAAAATTACTAGTTTTTGAATCTTTACTAATTGAAAATCCAGCAACAATTCACGGTTTCTGAATTCATAATATACTTCAACAATTGAGAACTACAGCTAATTCAAACTCTAGGAACAATTGCTAAATTTTAAACTTATAAATATTCAAAGTTCAAGTTCAGTGATTGTTACTGAAATTTGTTCCGTATTTTAGATAAGGATATTTTTACCCAAACTTTTATTTTCGCATTAATAAATGGCTACTTTGCCAATACAATTTGTAATATGGTCAAACTTTAATAGCCGAACTAAACAATGGGCAACGCAGCTAATTTTATCATTATATTATTACAACTTATTTAATAATAGTATAATTGAATGTTATGGCATTCATAAGATTTATTGGTAACTGACATGTTAGTTATTTGCGTTAGAAACTGAAACAACAAAGCAAATTTCTAATGCAATTTTAGCAGATTTTTAGTATTGTAATTCCTAGTCTTAGGAGTTATTTTCTCTTTTTTGTAATTTGAGTGTTCAATAAATCAATAGCATATTTTTCTATTTTCAGTTAGGAATTTGATGCTATAAATATATGTCTATAAGTCACAAATGAAGTACGTAGAATTTCCTTTGCATCATATTCCAGTAGTCACTTCTCTTAGCAATTTTAGTCTTACTTTTTTTTTTCCTTTTTTTTTTCTCTTTAAAAAATCAACTACTGTAATCATAGCCATCTAACTAAGAGACCTAAGTGAGTGAATTTTTTCTTGGTACATGTGTAAGTATGAACTAATTCTGTAAAACCACAAATATAACTCTTATATCAATTGTTGGATTTTTAAAGAGAAGAAACGAAAGAAAACAAAGTAAAGACTGAAATTGCTAAGGAAATGACTACTAAAATTTCCTTTGCTGCATATTCTAGTAGTCACTTCTTTTAGGATCTTTGGCCGTATATCTGTATTGGGAAAAAACTGAGTTTATATTAAAGATGATGTGGTATGACACGTGAATTAGTTAAATGGTCAAAGCGCAGCAATTGACTAAGAGGCACGGATGGAGACAGCCACAGGAAGAAGAATTTAAATAGGCACGAGACGACGTATAGATACGAGTCTCGTACCAATTTAAATTATTTACAGCCAACGGATTAGAAGGCATTAAAGGCAAAGATCTGATGACAGAAAGGAGTCCAAATTCATTATTAAATACTTGATACGTTACAAAATTGGTATTTAATAGGAATGATTGTATAACGGCTTATTTAATGTCATTTATTACTCATGATTATATCATTAAAGCTGAGGCTTCATTCCTTTACCTAGAATTATCTATAAAAGGAAGAAGTATCATCATTTGTAAGGACACGGAATACTACTGAGAATTTATTGAAATACACATCTATTTGCTTTTTTACCATCATTCTCAAAAGTATTTTATTTTTGTCTCCTGATTATCAGTAACCCGAATTTCTTTTTAGCTTTGACCAAAAACTTAGATTTTTGATTAAACAATATCTTGACGGCTTGTTTTGAAAATTTATTTGAGAACAATGTTTTCATGGAATATGATCAGTCTTTTTAAAAAATAATTTGACTTATTTTTTTTGAAGTTCCCAAAAATTGTTCTAAACCAGTTTTTGGGTGAAAAACTTAGGCACCATTTGGCCATGAGTTTTGCCAAAATAAATTTAGGATTTATTTTCAAAACTCATGTTTGGCCATAAATTTTGTCCACATTTTGGCAAAATTCCAAATCCCAAAATCACCCCAATTACTGATTTTGGGCCAAAATCCTAAAACTTGGGAATTATATACATGTTTTTCCAAAATAAAGTTGGAAAATATGTTTTGAAAACGTATGTCCAAACACATTTTTATTTTCAAATCAAACTTCACCCAAATCAGATTTTTCAAAACAAATTTGGAATTTATGGCCAAACGCTAGCTAAGAGTATAGTAAACAAAAATTTGAACCTCTTTAACAATAATATAATGAACTTTAGGCTAGTGTCATGAAGTTAGGTGTAGAGTGAAGAAGTTCAGGCGGATAGGCCAGTGTCATGAAGTTTGAGTTTTGAACTTGGCAGTTTAGCAATGTAGCTAAACTTTAAATACACTATAAGATGTGGCTAGGTTTTAAATACAATCATTTAAAAAGTGGCTACCTGATGTCATTTCTACCTATCTATTGTACCCTAACCCAACGCTCTGAAGCCCAAGTGCTCCCCCATCATCTCTGCCGGAAAATTGAAGAAATTTCATCATCTCCTCTTGTCGGAGCTCTCCCTCATTTTGCTCAAAAGTATAAGTTTTATCTGTTTACAGCTCTATTTTTTGCTCCTTTTTCACAATTTGTTTGTTTCTAATGTTGCATTTGATTGGTTGAAAATTCCCTTTAAGACCTTAAGTTAAAATAAGTGCTACTATTTTATTTTTTTTAGATTTTCATTTTTCTAATTGAAAGTTCTCTTTTAGCATTTGATTTCAATGTGTTTCAGATCTTTCAGGAATTTTAATTATTAGACCATTTGGTTGATCTTGAATTTGCTGCAAAATAATCAACTTTGTTGCTTCCTTTTTTGGCCTTTAGTTATCATTGGATGTCTTGCTACAATGAAAAGTTTTACAAAATTGTCGTAACCGATTAAGAATAGAACACAATGGGTATTTAAGTGGAGAATGGTAGAGCGGCGGATCCATTATCCTCGGTTTTGAAGCCTGTGGTTGGTCATAAGGGTTCGCCCCAGACGGATGTCTCGGTCATAAAAAAAGAACAAAATATAGAACACAATGGAAACAAATGAAAAATGTTGTACCAACTAGTTGGGGTCAAAGTAATTATCTTCAGCAGGACAAGTGTGAGATTTAGGCAACCTAAGTTTCTGCTTAAGATGGATTATTTGGTCTTGGAACTAATATGAGACTGAAGGATACTTGATTGACTCTTAATGGTTCATAGAGAGTTTGTCCATGGACTAGTTTACAGTAATCATAATTACTATATATGAAATTCTAAAGGAATGCAGGGGCTACAGGAAACAACCTCTCTACCTGCATAAGGTAGGAGTAAGACTGTGCACAAACTACCCTTCCCAGACCCCTATTTGTGCGATTACACTGGGGTTTTTTGTTGTTGTTGTTGTTGTCTAAAGGAACGGAAAAGGAAGGGGGGGGGGGGGGGGGGGTGTTCACACTTAAACATCATATGCTTGTGTGGATAGCTACTGAAAGGGTGTATTGCACGATGAAGCTTTGCGACTATGCCATTCTTGGCGACGGTGATTGCCGACGAGAAGGTGACGGCTACTTATCAAGGGCGGGATATGGAGGAAGAGGAAGGGTTATTGTGCTGATGGATGGCACAAGGGTGCAGCAGTGGGGTTTAAGGTTATGGCAAGGGCGTGGGAATAAAAGGGGAATGATCATAATCTAAGGGATACTAGTTGCTTTTTCTGTTCTCCGTTTCTGCTAGATCTAAGTTGCTTTTACTAATATTAATTGCTTTATTACTGGAAAAATACAACTGTAAATTAGAAGCTTATATTTAGTCCGCATCTTGTTTGCATTGTTGCTGCATTCTGATCTCTTCCTCTTCCGTAGTTGCAGTCACATGTTCACGAATACCCAAAGGCAAGAAGAACACAGTGGAAAATATGGAACTCCGAGGGTAGAATACCTTCAGGTAAGTCCTCCTTACTCGATATATTTGATCGCTTGACGACATTAGGTAAGAAAGAAAACTGAAACTGCTCAACTGCAGAACTTCATATGCTGATATTAAGAAAACATAACTTGTACTTGAAATTCCTGTATAAGCAGAAAACTTGTTCGCATAATTCACTAATCAATTCTTTCATTCTTGATTCAGGAATTGGTAACTCAATTTAAGAATGCATCTTCTGAAGGTATGCTTAGAGTTTTATTCAACTGCTTCATTCTGTGTCTACAACATTGGATTGTTGTAATGAGACAAAATGTTTTATCAGAATATCATATTGACCTTTTTGTTGAGTCAATTTCAATTCTTTGATCATGGAGTTCGTAGGTGTTTTCCAGATTACAATAATGTTAATATAAAAATAAAAACATGGTAAACAAGCATTAATACTTTCAAGTCATAAGAAAGTTGTGTTCGTATTTGTGATTCCGGGGTGACTTATTGTGGAGTTGAGTTTTTCATGCGAGGTGTTGAGTGAAAGAGCAACTATTTACACTAACCAGAAGATAGCTGTTAGTTGTGACAACACGACTAAATCTGTCTCTGAAAAAAGAAAAAGAAAAAAAATCGAAGGGATAATGTCACTCCTCTTTTTTTACACTACCCGAGGGTATACAAGGGAGTTTTTCCAATTTAAGTGACATTATTCGAAATGGGATTATTTATTTATTTTTATTCAGAGTCGCCACTTGGGATGGTTTGTTTTCTGGTGTCCCAAGTCACCGGTTTATTTTAAAATCCCAAATCGAGGAATTTCGATTTTCCTTTTGAAGTCTGCGAACCAGAAATTCTAAGTAAGGAATTCTGTTAACCCGAAGGAAGGTGTTAGGCACCCCCGGATTTCTTGGTTCTAGCACGGTCGCTTAAACTATTACAACTGGCTTATTATTTGATTTTAATACATGTTTTAGCCTATGGTATACTTTTAACTTGTTAGCCGCTTTTAAATTATTTTTAGGAAGATTCAACGTTATTTAAAACACGTCTTTGAACCACGCCACATGAAATGCACCCGCAGTCCGCGACATATTTTATTTAACGTTGTTGAAATTTGGATTTGAGTCACATGAAATGCACACCCGAGTTTAGGAAGGTAATTTTTAAAATAACGCGCCTAAAGCAACTACGCGTTTTAACTACGCTATTTAGTATTGTTTAAATCATGTTTAGACTATTTTTATGTTGATTAACTGCTTTAAGAGTTGAGTTGGGTTGAACTGGCTGGCCTTGTCTTCACGAGAGGCGCCATCACGACCGGATTCGGGGTTAGGGACGTGACATGGAGTTAGTACAAGCTTCAACAATTTGGCTCAGTATTTCTTAGATAAACATGTCTAGTACTTGTACTGGTGGGAGGTCACAGGTATCCGGTAGAATACTCGAGTGTTTTGCGTAAGCTGGCCCGCACACCACCCGGGAAAGAAAAAGGAAGTCCTATGTACATCATCAAATTCCAAAACCACCTTTGTTTGTTCCTTGACTCTTGAGTGGCTTCCTATCTTGAAATATAACAATTTACTAAGTATATATGTGATGGGTATAATTTATTCATATATTTTTATATGTTAAATATTAAAGATTTTAAATAAAACATGAATAAATATACCATACTCTCCCATATTTTCTAACATACTTCGCAGGAGGAAGAGCGTATGAAAATTAAAGAAAAGAAGCAAAAAAGAGTGAGAATTGAGTAGTCAACTGAGAATGAAGAAGCAAATATTGCACCATAGTTGCGACAATGGCAATTTGAAATCATGAAGCAAATTACATAATTGCAACTAGCAAACTATAGTTGAAAGTATGGTTCTTCCTCTGCAGAATGAAACTCAATTGGCAAAGTCATAGCTATACTTACAATTTCCATAGTTGCAACTATGGAGAACCTTAGGCAAGAAAACTCTATAAATAGAGTGTGATCAAGTGAGATTTTATTATCCTTTAGAGAAATACATGTAGAAAGTGAGATTTTATTATAATATATTATCAAGTGAATTCAACGATTCCCAACTCTTTTTTAAATTATAAATCTTTCGAAAGTTGTTTAATTTTGTTAAGTATTTAACAAGTTTTAATTCCACAAAGTTTTCATCAATCCGATCCTCTCAAATAGTAGCTAAAATATTATAAGTCTGTAGAATAGATTTTCCAATCTTTGTGGGACGATATCATAAACTATACTAGAATTTAACAAAGCACGAGCAGGAAATTCCTATACACATTGGCCTCGTCAATATGTCAAAGTTTTTAATCGGAAAAAATTTATGGATAGTAAGTTGACGTAATTCTAGAAAACTAACACAGTTACTCCTGCACTGCATATGATAAATTTGCGAAAATTGTTGCTACAGATATAAAATTCATGTATCATATGTATTATTGTGAATAATCAGTGTATAATTCATGTATACCGGCTAGAAAAAGTAAACATTAAATCTAGCGGGCAATTTTCGTTGAAATCTTGGATGAGTAGAATAAATGTTGATCTCGCCAAAAATCTGAATGTGGTAATCTCAAAATTAAAACGACAAATATTTACAGGATTTATCACAAAGTTTAACCAATTTGTTCCACATAAATTAGATAAATCATGTTTAAGAAGTACTTGATGAAACTGGAAAAAACGAAATCTTCATATTTTTTTTTGTCTTTGCATCTGTGATCTGCCTATGTGCCTGAAAGAACAAAAGTACCTAAATCTCCAATGTTTAAATGAAGATATTAGTTTTGTGCATTTAAGAGTGTGATCTAGTGATCAATATAATGCGTTAAAAATCATACATACCAATTTCAAATTGCAATGAAGATTAAAAAAAATACTAAAAAATACTCATTCAATCCTTGGTGAAAAAAGTTATTCAGTAAACAGGTACCTCATGAAATCAATAGCGTAGCAACACTATGCCAAGGGTAGTCTTATTTTTTTTTTTGGGGTAGAATGCCAAGAGTAGTCAAGTGAATAGCCTTCGCTAAAATACTATACTGTGGATACAGATCAATTTAATTTATATGATTATATATTACCTTTTGAATACCTTTAATATTGTTGAGTGAGATATGTTTAAATCTTCATGTAAATGTTTGCTCCTTTTGTTTGCCAAAACTAAATGGAGATCGTCGTATGTGTAAAAACAAATAACTAATCTTAGAAGTTGTTTTTAAATTTAAAATTGTTTCTGAATAAATTTTATAATTTCAAAGTCAAGCTTTTAAAAATTTCTTCAATAAAAGCTCTCTATATACTACTCCACAATCCTCTCGACTCTCTCTTTCTTTTGGTTTTATGCTTACTTTTATTATTAATTTTTTTTAATCCTTTTTTATACTTTTATTATTAATTTTTGTTTATTTTATCCTTTTTTATATTAGTTTTGATTTATAAAATTATAATTCTATTACAAAGTATTTTTATTATTTAGCTAATATAGCGTAATTTTCTTAAAATTTGAACTCTCTTGATAAAATTCCTGACTACGTCATTATATGAAATTAATTGAGGTAGGAACAAACTGATTCGGATATGCAATAAAAATATTAATTCTCGGCCAAACTTGATGCAGGTTTTGCTTTTTGTTAATGTCGACCCTTCATGTTTTCACAGTATTCACTTATCACAAGGAACTTCACAATTTTTTTCCCCAGCTCACAAGTGAAACATTCAGCATTTGACAAAGACAAAGTGTCCATGACGAAAAATAATTGGAGAATAAAAAAAAATCCCCACAAAAACTACTACGGGTAGGAAATATAATTAGTTTATGGGTAGAAAAAACAAATGGGTAGACAAGGATAAATAGAATTATATTTCCTAAACAAATGGGTGAATATCTGTTATTATTGAAAGCTGTTGTTCATGGTTCTGGGTTTCTAAAGTTGTTCTATGTCGAAGCATTGCCGAACTTCTGTTGTTGTATTGCTAGGATTGTTAGCTGAGCTACATCCTTCACTGATTCGCCTTTATTTGGCCATTTTGATTCCATTCGCGAATACTAGGTACACACCTCTAAGTTTGTGAACAGCCAGATTATTATCATGTTTAGCATCTCCATATTAATGTTAATCGTGTATTTGTCTGGAGGGGTAATCTCTGACAGTGATTGTTATTGTAGAATTTTCAAATATGGTCGTTGATGTAATAAATTAGCTCCTGAAATGTGAGCTCTATTTGGTTTCGATTTGATTTTATCTTTCAAAATAGTTGAGTCTCGCTAGTTTGCTTGTTTGTTAACGGAAGGTCTATATGTCTTGCTTTGTTTTGGAATATATTTGAAGAAATTGATCCTTAGTTCTAATTCTTAAATGATTTGAATACTTTAATATCTCTAGAATATTTTTTGGCAGTGGTTGGTTACTTGGATTTCATACGAACTGTTATTCATAAATATGTCACGGGTTTCGATCTCGAGAGATAAGAATTACATTTGACATTAAAATAAGAGTTAGAACTAATAGAAGAGGAAGAGAGTATGTACAAAAAATGCATTTATTCTGCGACGCTCGATAACTTTAGTATATACTTAAATAAGCTATCCCACCTCTCCATAATTAATTTACTTTATTTCTTCCACATTTTCCATAACTCAAGGCTTTACAATAATCCCAAACTTAGGAAATGAACAACCATGAATATGATAGCATGCTTTAGGCGCGTTCTTAATTAATCAAATTATCATGATTATGTATACGTTCGCGTGACATAATTATGATTTCAAAATAAATTAAGGTACGCGTTCGCGCGACTTTGGACAAACAATCTTAATAATAATAAAGTGTTATTAATCGTGTACACATACGCGTGACATGATTTTTGGCATAATAAACCAAACGGGATCACATACACGTGATCTGTTTCAAAAATATAAATCCATAAACGCCATAATTAAAAGCGGTAAAAGGTAAAATATACATAGATTCTAAAAATGCGTAATTAATAATTAATTAAGTCAAGTGTGATTAAAGCGACCGTGCTAAAATTACGAAATTCAGGAATGCCTAATACCTTCTTCCGGATATACAGAATTCCTTACTCGGTCTTCTGTGTTTCGCGGACTATAAACAGAGTCAATTTCCTCGATTTGGGATTTTAAAACAAATTGATAACCTGGGACACCATAATAATTATTCCAAGTGGCGACTCTAAATTAAATAAATAATCTCATATGTCACTTTAATTGGAAAAACTCCCTATTCCTCGAAAAAAAGAGGTGTGACAGCTCTGGCGACTCTGCTGGGGAACGAACCTAGAATCTCTAGTTCAGGGTTTAGAATTCGAGCTTGTGATGTGATCTATACTTTGCTTTACTGATTGTATGATATTACTGTGTTTGTGGGCTTAATATGCTAAATGTCACTTATTTACCGCTTTGATATTATTTGAACTGTATAAACTGTCTTATTACACCTCTCTTCCGAGTCTTCTGAATTTATGGTGCACACGTGCACGTGACTCACGTTTCTATTAGAGGTCATACCAATTAGAACGAGACTGGATCAGTAACTAGGTCAGGTAGACTTTCGTGCTCCCGGTACGTTACTCTCATCTCGACTCGAGCTGTCCGCTTGAGTAAGCTGGTTCAGGATTTAAACCTAGAATAACAGAGCTTCATGTCAGATCCCTATTAGGAACATTTGTTTGCATCACGTGTATTTAACTTTGGAGACTCAACACAGGGATTGAGTTCGTCTAGGAAATGTATACCCCAAATTACAAGACCATCATGATGTATCTTACGTGCTACTTGTGCATTTTGTTTGATCTGGTTTGCATATTGATCGGTTTCTATAATAGGGACAAAAAAAAATTAAAAAATGAAAAAATCAGGAGTGAGAGGTAGGAGAGAGAAAATTCATCCGGTTTCCAAAATTCCAATATTTGAAAACTCCCGAAACTCGGCCGAATTTTTAAAAAAGAAAAGAATGGTCATTTCAAAATGAGCCAAACTTTTCAAGTGTCATGTTTCCCCTGATTTGTCAAAATGGCCGAACTACGCGGATTTGTATCTCACCTAATGTGAGATACGTAGGCAAACCTCATCATGGTAGATGAATACGTTGGCAAACTTCTCAAAATAAGCTAATTTTTGAAGCTTGGCCAAACAGGCTATACCTTTTATATGCTTCTTCTTCTTATTCTCCTCCATTTTTTTCCTTCTTAGTAACTTCAACCTTCTTTTAGAAGATTCTTTGTAATATCTGCATGATAATTTTTGCTTCATCATTGAATCACCCGAGAATATTGTCTACATATAGATATTAATTAGTGCAATAGGTTGTAAGCTTATACAAAGGGAACAAACCACATTAGGTAAATGAATTCGTACTAAAAAGGTCAATTTCTTAAATTTAAAATTATAAAGGAGCATGATGTATAAATAGCATAATATTTTGTCACAAACGACAACAACAATAACAATAGAGCAAAATTTTTTTGAACCTCTTCAACAATAATAAAACGAACTTCAGCCTAGTGTCATGAAGTTAGCTATAGAGTGAAGAACTTCAGGCGGATAGGCTAGTGTCATGAAAGTTTGAGTTGTGACAATTCGAACTATTTGAACTTCGCAGTTCAGCAATGTGGCTAAACGTTAAATACATTATAAGTTGTGACTAGGTTTTAAATAGAACCATTAAAGTGGCTATCTGATGTCATTTCTACCTATCTACTGTATTCGTAAAAATAGCACGGACTAGCTAGTTTTCGGACTGGTCATTCAAAAATAGCCAGCATTTGCAAAGTCATTGAAAAAGAGCAACTATTTTACTGCAACACGAAAAGTTCCAGCATAATATACTGGAAATCAGTGCATTTGTATATGAACTTCCAGCATATAATGTTGGAACTCTAACACACGGAAAGTTCCAGTATAATATATTGGAGTTCCAGTATACTTATGCTGGAACTCCAGTATATTATACTGGAGTATATTTTTGGATTTTGAATAGTGTTTTCGTTCAGATTTATCTTTACATGAAAATGGCTAAATTTCGATTACTTTTGAAACTATGACTATTTTTGAATGACCACTTGTAAATATGACTATTTTTTAGTTTCTCCCACTGTATTTAGGGATGGCAGTGGGTCAGGGTAGGGCAGAGCAGGGCAGGGTGAAAGCTTTTATGGGGCAGGGCAATGTCTTCAATCATTTTTAAAAAAAATGTTAATATGGCAGGGCAGAGATGGGTCATTGAGAGGGATGACAATGGGGTAGGGTAGAGCAAGGTAGAGCAGGGCGATACTTAAATGGGGCGGGGCGGGGCAGGGCGGGTCTGCATTCATTTTTTTTAAAATGTTAATGGGGCAGGGCAGGGATGGGTCACTGAGATGAAGTTCGCATAGCTAGCTGTAGGTTAGCGAAATGAGATTCGTGTTTGTGACGGAGCAACTAACATCGACTTTAAGCAGGCATTTACGCCCTTAACTTGTGTCCAACTCAGTGGAAACTGGAAACCAATACTTAAAAAAATAAAAAACGTGAAATATTGATAACAGCTTATCGGGAAAAGTATAGACAATTGTTGCATTTCAGTGATAAAAAATTAATTTACTCTTGAAGTAATCTGAGATAATATAGATAAGCAAAGAGTTTAATATCACAATGAAAATGATGTTAACAATAACAATATAAAATAATGTTTTTATTAGGAGTGAATGCATAATTTGTTTTTCTAAGTTATGTACTAAATAATTAAAATTTTGAAGCTTTTCTTTTAATAATAGTGAAAGTCAAACTAAAACATTCAAATGCAGATTCTTATTTTCATAATTGTGCATTTTTCATTATTGACAAGTGGGTTAGGGAGGCGGAGGCTTATGGTTTTCAAATTATTATGTGAAAAATTAGCAAGAACAAGGTGGAAGATGTTCTAAGACAACTCCAGCAGGAATTCCAAAAATTTGAAACAGAAAATTCCAGATTTTGACTTTCATAAAATCATAATTTTATATAATTTTCAGGCATTAAAAGCAAAAATATATAGAGGTCAGAGAAGTAGAAAATACTATCAAACTAAAAATAAAGAGAAAAAATAAGGAAAAACGGAAAAACGGGGCAGGGTTGGCAGGGCGGGGCGAGGCAGGGCAAAAAATTGTGAAGATGGTAAACGGGGCAGGGCGGGGCGGGTCAAGATCTTAGCGGGTCAAAGCTTGCCCTGCCCCGCCCAACCCATTTGACATCCCTAACTGTATTCTAGCCCAGCATCCTGAAGCCCAATTGATCTCCCCGTCATCTCTTCCAGAAAACTAAAGAAATTTTCTCTTCCGGAAAACTGAAGAAACTTTTCCATAACTTCCATAACTTCCCTCCAAGACAAGAGGGGTTGCTCTGATGGTAAGCAACCCCCACTTCCAACCGAGAGGTTGTGAGTTTGAGTCTCCCCAAGAGCAAGGTGGGAAGTTCTTGGAGGGAAGGATGCCGGGGGTCTATTTGGAAACAGTCTCTCTACCCTAGGGTAGGGGTAATGTTTGCGTACACACTACCCTCCCCAAACCCCACTAAGTGGGATTATACTAGGTTGTTGTTGTTGTAACTTTCATCATCTCCTAATCGTCGGAGCTTTCTCGCATTTTGCTCAAAAGTATTATCATCCACTTTGAATTCCTACGGTACATTTTTAAATTAGAATGGTAATTCACCTCAATTAAAAAGAAATCTGTTGTATATGGATAAACAGAAGAGTGCTATTTACTATTTTGCTTATACAATAACAACAACAACAACAACCCGGTATAATCCCACAAGTGGGGTCTGGGGAGGGTAATATATACGCAGACCTTACCCCTACCCCGAGGGGCAGAGAGGCTGTTTCCAAGAGACCCTCGGCTCAACACAGCGACAAGAGACGATATATTAGTACTATTAATAGACTCATAATAAAATTACATAAAATAACATAACATAACAGAAAATAAAAATAACAGCAATATAAAAAATATAGGAAGTACGAAAAAGATGGAAGATATAAAAGATGGAAGTACTATTTTGCCTATCTAATATCTAATTATGTTGTTTGATTGATTGAGAATCCTCCTTTCGTACCTTGAGTTAAAATAAGTGTTACTCATACTATTTTTTTTACTAGATTCTCATTTTTTAAATTTAAAGTCCCCTTCTAGCATTTGGTTTCAATTATTTCAAATCTTTGAGGAATTTTAGTTATTAGATTGAATTTGCTGCAAAGTATCAACTTGTTACTTCCATTTTGGCATTTAGTTATCATT